TTGAGTTGACTCGCGAATTTTAATCTATTTTGACAATTCCATTAAAAATAAATTTTTGTTTAGTTTTTCTTTTAAATAGTTCCATTTTCATTATTTAGTTCAATATAGTTAATTGTTTGTTGATTAATTAGTAGTTCAACAACTCTAATTTATTGAACGTACGANAACAACAAAATCTCTTACTCTAAACTTCAGTTTCGACACCAACTAGTTCATGCTCATCAAAGACACCCCTAAATTCACACCATTAAGTTGATCATTGCAAAAGAAAAAACAAAAACCTCACAAACAGACAAAGACAAAACGGTAAGCTAAAGTACCAAAAGATCATTCAGACGTCTTAAAACAATAATATTACATTTGATAATATAAATCAAGCAATACATGAATAATCATATCATTTCTAAACTCGACCATCCGGATACATGTATTGATGTCGGACTCATGGAAGACCTGTCCCGTGTGTGGTGAAACAACTCTTCCATATCATAATACTACCACTTCATCAAACTACCAAACACCAAAGTTAGTCCATCAAACATTTATGGTCAATACATGACCATCCTACTAAGGACCTCTTACTACTCTCCACGACATAATCACTCAGCTCTACTTGAGATTGGGTGTTATTGAGAGTGTCAGAATCATCCCTCAATTCCAGAACCCCTATTTCAATATATAACACAACGTAACAACCATAAGAATTTCCTCATGGAATCCTTTTCACATCATACTTAATCTATACACACATCCATGTTTACCATTCATAAAGCATTCATACGTATTAAAACCATACATATCATCATAACCACCATATCATATGTGAACAACTACCATACATGTTAATATTCAAATTGCATTTCACGAAGCATCATGCATACCATCAAATTCACCCACCATAAACATATACATAAATATGTTCACAAATCATAAACATCAATTTTCTTATGAGATAATCGATTATTAGGCCTGATAATCGATTATTCCATAGAGTTTTAAGGAAATACCACCATACCTACTGAAATAATCAATTATCAGACATGATAATCTATTATCTCAAAAAACCTACTACAATAATCGATTATCAGATCTGATAATCAATTATTCTAAAGAGTTCTTCAACAAAGACATAATTCTGACTAAAATAATTGATTATCATGTTTGATAATCGATTATTCCTATCAATTTTTTTACAGCAACATGATTTTTGAATTTGGTTGCACCTAAGACCCATCCAAATAAACAAAAATGTTAATATTTATTTTAATTAATTTGATTATATTAATCAATTAAAAATTATAAAAAATATTAATATTATACTATCTTAATTTTCATAGTGTTCAATTACTATAGAATATATTACATTTTTAATAAAACAAAGCAATTGGCTTGAGAAAGAATATATAAGTTATTATTACAATTATCAAAAAATAACATATAATATATATATATATATATATATATATATATATATATATATATTTTGTACTACATTACAAGAAAATATATTAGATCGAACCAAAAACGTAATATAAACTTTACAAAATAAAAAGAGAACAACAAAACGTCATACTCTAAACTTTAACTCTGCCACCAACTAGCTCCCGGTCACCAAAGGCACCCACTAAGCTCACACCATTAAGGTGATCATTGCAAAAAGAGAAAACAAATACACATACGAACAGACAAAGACAAACGGGTAAGCTAAAATACCAAAAGATCATTCATATATTTTAAAACAATAGTATCACATTCATAATATAAATCAAGCAACAAAGGAATAATCATATCATTTCTAAACTCGACCATCTAGATACATGTATTGACGTCAGACTCATGGGGGACCTACCCCTTGTGTGGTGAAACAACTTGAATTTGGTTGCACCTAAGACCCATCTAAATTACTAAAATGATATTCTTGACATTAGAAATGATTTCAAAACATCTTTATATCCAAAATTTATTACCATTTTGCTTATTTGGCTATAATTAAGATGCATTATTTCAAACTAAGAACTCAAAAGTTCACAACTCAAAATATATATGTTACAAACTAGATTTTTGTAATCTAAGCGGTTAAACAAGTCACAAATAACTCAAAAACAATCCTCAAACATCAAGTTTCTCCTTAATTCAACTACTCTAGAAATTCACTTGTCAAAACCCCTAATTTAAATCCAAAAATCAGCCCATTCTAAACCAATTTCTCACCATCATAACCTATTGCCAAAACACAAAAAAACCAACCCAAAAATAGATTTTCTATCATGCTTAGGTCTTCCAAACTAGTTTCAATTCAACAAGCTATCTACATCCAAGATTCATCACATCAAACCATCAATTTGTCATGTTATACAGTACACTATCACAAAACTCACATAAATTCAATAATGGTTCCATACAATTTCACATATCAATTCAGATTATAAGTGACTACAAATTTAAAAACAAGTTATTTAGCTCCCCTTAGCTGATAGGAGCTTAAATACCTCGAAAGGACCTAAAATCGCTTCCATAGTTCAAAGAGCTCTATCTACATCTATCAACCTTGAAATCATGATCAGAGTACATAGTTAGAACCACTGATTAACAAAGAACATACTAGAAAACTAAGAAGGCACATGCAACAAACCAAACATCACATGCATGAAAGATACTTATAACTAAAAAAAAGAGTAAAAACTAACTTACTCCTTTAAGAAAACTGATCGACTATATTAAAAGACATTGCCGTAGTGATCACTTTAGCACCCTCCGATCTTCAAACAAATGACCTAGCAAGTAGAATATCTAGAATGAAGGAAGAGCTCTAAGTGACCTGTTTTTAAATAAATGATGTGACTTGAAATAATGAAACTCATGTTATAAAATTTTTAGGTTTAATAGCCTTTTTTTTGTCCCTAGTTTTGCTGAATAATGTCAATTCAGTCCCTCATTTTAAAAGTGTGTGAAATTGGTTCTCACCTAGTAAATTTTGCGTCAACGTTGTCCCTTCCGTTAAATACGCACAAACGGCGTTAACTTTTTTTCTCCCTCCTCTACTCTTTTGCAACGCAGCAAACCTTTTTCTTCTTTTTGTCAGTGTTATGCTTTCAAATTCAAATTTTTGATGGGATAATTGTGCTTAAATGGTTGATTTTAAGTGAATTTGTGATGATTGGAATTGTTGGGTTTGGGAAATAAAGAGACGTAAAAAGTGAGTTTTAGCGCATAAATTATTCTTAGATGTTCTAATGTTTATTTGTGCAGCTGAGAATAAAAGTTTTATTGGTCCAAATGGCAATTTAAGGCCCAAAATTCGATTTTATTTGGAAAATAATATACAAATGGTCCAAACAAACAGGCTACCCTTGCACCTGCTAAAATCCCTACATACACTCCTATTTCTGAAACAGGCCAACAACCAAGCCCAAACCTAAGCCTTTTCTACAACACCTCCTAAATTTCTCTACCCATACCCCTCCTAGGCCAAATCGCGCCACCGCTTCTCGCGATCCCTTTTATCGCGCCTCTGCGAGTTCGCGTCTCGACCACCATCGCACGACCATCTTCATCTTCTCATCCACGTTTCTCGCGCACCATTGACGCAACCATCAACACCAACACAACGCTTCCATCGTCCGCGAGCACCTTCTCCAAGCCAACATCCAAAACGGCCACCACCTGCACTCAGGAAAACCAAAAACAGTAGCATCATCCTTCCCATCGCTGGAGCACCGCAAGCAGCCTCTCCATCGCATCCAATCTTGTCGTTATTAACGCACCTGCAAAACTCCACCACCAGAGCTTCTTCTCCACAGCGGCGGAAGTGGGAACGTAGGGGGAGGCCTTTCCTAGCAAACCCTAATTGGGAAGGAAGAGGGCAGCCATGTGGCGAGCTCCCATTGGGCACGACCTCTCTGGTCAAAGCTGGTCAACAAGGGTTTCTGGTGCAATTTTGAAGAATTCTGAAGGGGCTAAAGTGCAGATAGAGGAAATTTCAGGGCATTAGTGCAATTTTGGAAATTCAGAAAAGCTAAAAGATAAAATTCAGTTGTTGAATTAATTTAATTTGGGAATATCAACCGAAAATATCTTCCAAATAATGTTATAATTATCTAAATCTTTTAGTTATTTGGAAGATATAAGATAAAAGATTCTTTCAACTGAATATTCAGAGTCCAAGCCCAATCAAACCCTATATAAAGAGACCCAGGGGGACGTCAATTCATTCATTCTCTCATACTCCTCTCACTTTTCTTTCATCTTTTATTCAACTCCATTCATGGAGAGCTAAACATCTAGGGTTATTCTGCTGTAATTCCATGATGGATTCTGAGGTTACGTTCAATTAATGCAATTGTTTACTTTGATTATTGATTTAAGTTGTTCTCTCTATGTCTTTAATCTCTCTATCTTGTTAAAAGTAAAGATTTTTGCATCATAATGTGTTTGAATCTACATGCATATTGATTATGAGTTCTAGGGTTTCTAGGTTTAATTGAGAATTTACTTTGATTTAATTTAGGAACTTTCATATGATTAAATGATTTTTACTATCAATTGAGAATGTACTTTGGTTGATAGTAATAATTTCAACTATAATCAATTGAGAATTTACTTTGATTGATTAACTTTTAACTTGGTTAGGAGATTTAAGAATAGACATGATTAAACACAATAGAATTTGATTGAGAATGTACTTTGGTTGAATTTATTGTAAATAATCTAGAAAGCTTTTGCATTTGATTGAGAATTTACTTTGGTTAAATGCATAATCGCCTTCAAATTAATTAAGAATGTACTTTAATTAATTTGAAACTTAAACAATAATCAATTGAACAATTATCCGTGAATAACCAATGATAAATCTATCTTGGAAAAACAGTGAAATTAGCCTATTTAATCATAACTGTTTTTAAGCTTCTTATTTATTCTTTAAACATTCTTCAACCATTACTTTTATTCATAAGCATTGCATAACATTCATAAGAGTTAAATATTCGAAAGTAGTATGCGTATCAATAAGACACATTCATTTCCCCAAGAAAAAGTTCCTTGTCCTCAGCAATAACAGTTCTAGCACAAGCAGGAGACAGCGACTCAACAAAAGATGCAACAGATCCTCCATGCAGTGTTCCATAAAAATTCTGCAAGTTCAATATAGAAAATGAAAATATCTACCTATATTCATATAACATTATTTAATCCCTCTCCTTAACATAAATTTGTTACATATCTTGCAAATGATCAGTAATTTCGACAGACCGATTTCACAAAACATGAAAAAACCTAATCTCGAGACCTTCTGTTCCAATTTTCTCAGCTGTCAACACAAAACCAATGCTACAATTCAACAATATAAAGCATTTTGTGCAGAACCTAATTCTACAATTGAATAATTAACAGTTTACAAGCACGAGCCTTTTTCTTCCCAATTTGTTTGGTAGCAGCAAACAGAGCATAACAAGAAAGAACGAACGAAGAAGGGAAAAAAGGGTTTACTGCGATTGGTGACTTGATAGCAATAGTGCAAGAGATTCGTCCCCTTTTGATGTCGTCGACTTTGGGGAAGCTTCGAAATAAGTTGGAGTAGATGCCTCTGGTGTCGAAAATCTGTGGAACATGTCTGTCCATGCCCAATGCTTTAAGAAAAGCTAGAGTTAGAGAAACACGTTGGTCGGATGTTGAAGACAGTGTTTGGGTTTGCGAAGCCGAGGAAGAAGCTTTCGACGCCATTAGCGTCTCTTACACAAACACCAATTTACTCTTTTTCCAAGCGGTTTAGTTTTCAGTTCTCACGCTGTTCAAAGATTCTTCACTCTTCATCCCCAAAAGAATTTTACATTCACAAATTATTCTTTTAAATCATGTTATTCAATCGTATTATAATATATTTCTAAATTTTTCATAAAATTATTTATTTAAAAAGAAAACTGAATAATCCTTCCTTATTACTTACATATTTTTAAGTTTTAAAATAAATCTTTATTTTTATATAAAATGATAATCGCATTTTTTACCATTTATAAATAAATATTTTACTTTTATATGTTTTTAATAAATAACACTATTTTTCATACTTTTACAAAACGATATTTATATTCTTTATTCTATTTAAAATTTAATAGATATATTGCTTTATATATATATATATATATATATATATATATATATATATATATATATATATATATATATATATATATATATATATATTTATATATTTATATATTTATATATTTATATATGGATCCTTACTTTAAATTCCAAACACACAGTGACTGATTTTCTAAAATTATAATTGACTAGAAATTAACACATGATAACTTTATGCATCTACAATCAACTTGTTTTATTTTATTTTCATCCTAGTAGATATCTTTCTTTACCCAATTGGTCACCGGAGAGGACCCAGATGTCTGAACGCATCAAACTCACCTTCGACGCCAGCACATATGACTAGTCACAACTCACTGGACCAGGCCAGGGTTGCTCTATGATCAGGGATATGCCAACTTAGGTTTTTAAGGTTCCTATATCCTACCAACAAAGAAAGGCTCTCAAGAATTAACAATTAATTTATTTAAACTACCTACCATGTTCTCTTATGCTCTAAATATGAAATGCCTAATTTTAATATTTTCATTTCCTCTCACAGAAACGTGTACCTATATATCTATTTAATACCCATATACATGCTATTACAGAACCCTTACTCCAGACCTTCCAACAAGATCAATTTCATCCAACAAACTCATTCAAAACAGATTAAATTCATCATATCACAACATTCACAATTTCACAGTTTCAGTTATAACACCCAATATAATAAAAGTCATAAAATAGTTTCACAAGAGCACACCAATTCAACATTCATATGCATATATTTTTATAAAATAAATTCATACAAAAATAATTAGCTTACCTTGACGTTGAGCAGTGTAGTCAACTAGAGTGTCCTAACCGTGCCTTCACAGCGAAAACCCAAACAGTGTCCTACAACCACCTAAATGGTGATGGAAACAGCTCTTAGAGCTAGAATAGACAGAGAATCAAAAGGAGCACCATGCAACCAGTAAAGTTGCATGCCCTAAGTTCAAGAAAAGTGGAGAAACTGACTTACCCGTCCAAATGGAAATCTAATCGGATAGAAGGGAAGCTCTCAACTCCGTGAGCGAAAGAACACCACCTATTTGAAATTTCAACGATTCAAATGAGTGTAAGGGTAGAGAGAAGGCAGAGCAAGAAGGAGAAAAATGGAGATAAGTTTATAGAGAGAAAGGGGAACTGGAAAAAGAACTCAAAACTGGAAAATGAGGCCTCTTCTGAGGTCCTAGTGCCCTTAGCTTCTTGGGCCAGGCTGCAGGGTCCAGTAGCCTTACATTTTCGGGCTCTTACATTCTCCCACACTTCAAAAAATTTCGACCTCGAAAATTAGACTTACCAATGAATAGTTGAGGATATGACTCTCGCATTTCTTCCTCAAGCTCCCAGGTAGAGTCACCAGTTCGACCATCCCACATGACTTTGACCAAACTGACAGTTTTGCCTCTAAGCCACTTGTTCTGGCTGCCCTCAATTTTGACTGGTTGTACCTCCATGGATAGATCTTCTCTAACACTGACATCTTCAGCTTCTAGTACATGAGACGGATTCGGTACATATTTCCTAAGCTGTGAGACATGAAAAACTGGATGAAGGTTAGCCAGCCGGGGTGGCATGGCTATCTCATAAGCTACCGGTCCTATGCGCCGTAAAATCTGGTAAGGACCAAGATACCTAGGAGATAGTTTCCTAGCACGAATGGCTCTTCCTACACCAGTTTTAGGAGTCACTCGGAGGAACACATGATCCCCAACTGCAAACTCCAACGGCCTGCGCCTCCGATAAGCATAGGACTTCTGCCTATTCTAAGATGCCCGCATCCTTTCCTGTATAAGCTTCAGCTTTTCTGTAGTCTGCTGAACTAGCTCTGGTCCAATCAACACTGCTTCTCCATCCTGAAAGCAACAAAGAGGTGTTCTACAACGTCTTCCATACAGGGCTTCAAACGGAGCCATACTGATACTGGCCTGGTAGCTGTTGTTGTAAGTGAGCTCAACCAGTGGCAATATCTCATCCCATACCCCTAGGTGATCCAGAATACAAGTCCTCAACAAATCTTCAAGCGATTGGAACATCCTTTCAGACTGTCCATCCGTTTGGGATGATAAGCCGAGTTCATCTGTAGTCTGCTTCCCATCTCACTCTGAAGGGTTTGCCAAAACCTGGATGTGAACCTCGGATCTCTATCTGATACAATACTCGAAGGCACCCCATGTAACCTCACTATCTCCTTAACATATAGTTACGCCAGCTTCGCCATAGACATCCTTAAATCGATTGCCAAGAAGTGGGCACTCTTGGTCAATCGATCCACTATTACCCATATTGCGTCGTGTCTTCGAACAGTGCATGGCAAATGGGTAACAAAGTCCATAGCGATGCTATCCCATTTCCACTCAGGAATTTCCAACTGTTGCAATAGACCTCCAGGTCTCTGATGCTCTATCTTAGCCTTCTGACATGTTAAACAAGAGGCAACAAACTGAGCTACTTCTCTCTTCATACCGGACCACCAAAAAGACTCCTTGAGGTCTTGATACATTTTAGTCATACCAAGATGCATGCTATCCATGATTAGCTTCTTCAATCCCAAATTGTTAGGGATACAGACTCTGCCTTTGAATCTCAAAATACCATCAGCCCCCAAGGCAAAATCTTTACCTTGTTCAGTCTCAATCATAGTGGCTGACGTTTGGAGCTCAACATCTTTCAACTGCTCTTCTTTGACATTCCTCAACAAATCATTGGACACCACCAAATTACTGCATCTGATGTTGTCAGCTTCAAATTCTATCTACAACCTCAAATCTCTGAAGCTTTCCACCAGCTCTAACTCTCTGACCATCAAGGCTGAAATATGCACTGACTTCCTGCTCAATGCATTCGCCACCACATTAGCCTTCCCAGGGTGATAGAGGAGATCAAAATCAAAATCTTTAAGAAACTTCATCCATCTTCTTTGCCTCATATTAAGCTCCTTCTGATCAAAGAGGTATTTCAAGCTCTTATGATCACTAAAAACCTGAAATTATGCACCATACAGGTAGTGCCTCCAAATCTTCAAAGCAAATACCACATGCGCTAACTCCAAGTCATGAGTGGGGTAATTCTTCTCATGAACCTTGAGTTGTCTTGATGCATACGCCACTACCTTCTTCTCCTGCATCAGTACACACCCTAATCCTTTATGAGAGGCATCATATAAAACCTCAAAAGGTTTACTTGTGTTTGGGATAACCAAAATTGGTGCACTAGTCAACCTTTTCTTTAGCTCTTGGAAGCTAGTCTCTCAACGGTCTGTCCAAACAAAAGGTTGATCCTTCCTAGTCAGTTGCGTTAACGGTGCCACATTCCGGGAAAAGCTCTCAATAAAACGGTGTTAGTAGCCCGCTAAGCCCACAAAGCTTTTGACCTCTGTAACAGTGTTAGGTCTCTCCCACTGAAGCACTGCTTGCACCTTAATGGGATCAACAGAAATTCCTCCGGCTAAAATCACGTGCCCAAGAAAAGGAACTTCTTCCATCCAAAACTCACACTTAGACAGCTTGGCATGCAATCTTCTTTCTCTCAGCACTCCCAGCACTACCCTAAGGTGACCTTTATGTTCTTCCCGAGTCTTAGAATAAACAAGTATGTCATCTATAAATACAACCACGAACTTGTCCAAGAAGGGTCTGAAAATTCGATTCATATAGTCCATGAAAATGGTTGGAGCATTAGTCACACCAAAAGGCATAACCACATACTCATAGTGGTCATATCTAGACCTAAACGCCGTCTTCTGCACATCGTCCGCTTTCACCAAGATTTGGTGATAACCCGACCTCAAATCAATCTTAGAGAACACTGTAGCTCCGTATAGTTGATCCATCAAGTCATCTATTCTCGGCAATGAATACTTATTCTTGATCGTCAACTTATTCAGCTGTCGATAGTCAACGCACAACCTCGACCTACCATCCTTCTTCTTTACCAATAACACTGGCACACCCCACGGCAAAGCACTCGGCCGGATAAACTGTTTCTCCAACAACTCTTTAATCTGCTTTTTCAACTCAGTCAACTCGGCCGGAGCCATCCGATAAGGGGCTATAAATATTGGCCTTGCTCCTGAGACCAGATCAATAGAGAACTCCACTTCCTGCGGAGGAGCTAAACCAGGAACTTCTCCAGGAAAGACATCCATGAAGTCATTCACAACCATAAGGTCTACACTCTGGTTCCCATGCGTTGGAGAGTTTAAATCAAAAGTCCCGTCCATATGAAACATGATTAGGAAGCAGTTGGCACCCTCAAAGATATCTTGCCTCAATACACCGAGTGATAACGACAGGTCTTCATCTCCTTTGGGAAATATTAGCTTCTTACCACCGCAGTCTAAAAGAATACGATTGGCTGCCCCAATCCATTCCCAGAATTATCTCTAGCTCCTACAGAGGTAAGCAAATAAGGTTCACTCTGAACATGCGCCCCTCTACCTTGATAGGACATCTAGAGCACACATTAGATGTCCTGATTAACCCCGCTGCTAGTGNTAGCCTTCCCAGGGTGATAGAGGAGATCAAAATCAAAATCTTTAAGAAACTTCATCCATCTTCTTTGCCTCATATTAAGCTCCTTCTGATCAAAGAGGTATTTCAAGCTCTTATGATCACTAAAAACCTGAAATTATGCACCATACAGGTAGTGCCTCCAAATCTTCAAAGCAAATACC